ACCAGTAGAGCTGCCCCCAGAAGAGCCTCCAAATATCTGTCAGCTGATCCCAGAGCTGGAGCTCCTGCCGGAGAAGGAGAAGGAGAAAGAGAAGGAAAAGGAGGAGGAAGAAGAGGAGGAGGTAAGAAAAAAAGCTCTACAGTGAGGAATCCCAGTCGTTGACTTGACAGGCTTGAGCCACGCCAGTTAATGTTGGCCATCAGGGCGATGGGAAATGTCCAGATAGAAGCAAAATTGAACTTAATTCTTGTGCCATGAATCGCCCAGTGCATCACATTCTGTGCTGTACTGTAATTACTTCACAAGCTTCCCTCAGAAGAAAGACAGGGCTGCCCTCACAGACTGTCGCTAGACTTCAGCATTGCTTCTGCTTGCTCTTAATTTGTTTTTTTTTCTGATGGTTTGTCGAGACAGGGTTTCTCTGTGTAGCTTTGAACTGCAGCTGTAGACCAGGCTGGTCTCGAACTCACACAGAGATCCACCTGCCTCTGCCTCCCAAGTGCTGGCATTAAAGGCACTTTTTATTATCGTATGGTCAGTATTCAATTCTTACTGCCATTAAGCCAGCCTCTAGTCTAACATTCCACCTGTGGCCCAGAAATCAAATAGCCAGACATACTCCATTTGCCTGAGTTTGGGTTTTGTTTTAATTAGGCCAGAATCAGACCTGGCTTGCGTGAGGGAAAACTAGGAGGACTGTAACTTTTTACAAAATAGAAATGTTTTAGACATGGTTTCTCCTTTTTTCCCTGTGGTATGTCAAGGACATTTCTATAGTTTTTACCTGGCTTATTTCTGGATAGCTGAAGTAGTGTAACTTATTAGCTCTTTGTTTGGTGTATCTGTTTAAACCTTTGCCTTTAAAATGTTTTCCAGATAACTAATTGAAATTGTTATATTTTTTTCTCAAGGCCATTGTTTATATATTGAATACAGTTTTACTAACAGCCATTCGCATTTCTAGTTTATCTTCATGTCAGTGACAGTAGTAGATACTGTAGTGTGACTTACATTATTTTAGAGCTAGATTTTAGTTTCCCAACCTCTGTTAATCTCAGATTTATTAAAGTATGATTCCTGTCTAAGCTGCTGATCCTGGTCCTTCTAATACCTGTGTGTCACAGCTGTGATCCATACCAACTCGGAGTCAGAAAGCCATTTGGACAGCTGGTGTGGAGCACGTATTAATAATTAATAGTGTGCATTTTTAAATGTGTAAACAGTCTGAGTCACTGAGACATTATGCAGACTCTTTGGTACTGGTTGGTGATGACAACCTAGAAAATTAAACTATAGAACTCACATCCAGCATTAATTAATTTTTCCCAGTACCTAGATTGGCATCGTCCAATTGCTACTTTATGATGTAGGTTACTTAATTGATCTGTTTTACTTACAGCTATATGTAATTGAAAAAAAAAAAAAAAAACAGTGTACTTGGTGTGGTTTGGGTCCTGGCACATGGTTCTTAACCATGGCCTGTGCTGTGTAGACCACATCCTTACAGACCGGTGTGGAGACATTATATTCCAATCTTTCCTTTTTGATGAGGAAGACAAATTTCAAACGATTTGAGGCAGCAAGATGGCAGTTTGTGTGGGGGGGTCAGACTGTGTTAATGGAGCTTTCCGGACACGGCAGTGCTGCTGTTGCTTCAGAGAACACTTTTTTCAACCTGTGGTCCTTTATTCAGGATGAAGATGCTTCAGGGGGTGATCAGGATCAGGAAGAAAGGAGGTGGAACAAAAGGACCCAGCAGATGCTCCACGGTCTTCAGGTATGCCGTGACAGTCCCCAGAGAGTCCCTTCCCAGAATCAAGCCCTAGGGAACCTGGAGTCACAGTTCTGTGGGAGTGTTTCCAGGCCTGCATTGCTCTGAAGTATTTTAATCACATGCATGAGTTGTCGAGCCAGGAGTCACCTGGGAAGCATCTAGGTACTTGGCCATGCTCACCCTGAAGAGCAGATCTGGGGTGCTGGGCTAGAGACAGAGAATTCCTACGTGCATTTGTGCTTTCCATGTCCCTTGAGCAAGTTAACGTGCTCAGTCAGGCAGAGGGCCGGGTGTCAGTAACCTCAGCCTTAGCAGTCGAGACACGGGTGAGCCTTTAGCAAACTGAACTTCCCACTCAGTAGTTCAGGGTTCCCTGCAGTAGATGAAAGGAATGGATACTTAGGGTTTGGGGGATTGAAGGGGGACTGATTTGATTTGTGGTTTTGTTTTCACAAAAGATTTACTTTTGCTGTCTCACATCTATATCGAAGCAACTTTGCTTGCTTCATGGACTTTTATTTTGCCTTGCTTGAGCAAACTGAGCTGCCCACTCAGTAGTTCAGGGTTCCCTGCAGTAGATGAAAGGAATGGATACTTAGGGTTTGGGGGATTGAAGGGGGACTGATTTGATTTGTGGTTTTGTTTTCACAAAAGATTTACTTTTGCTGTCTCACATCTATATCGAAGCAACTTTGCTTGCTTCATGGACTTTTATTTTGCCTTTAGGTAAGCCATAGTATGTTATGGCCCTGTACCTTATTGAATAACATGATGAGAATAACTGGATACAAATGTCCAGTCCCAACCACACGTAGTTTAGTTTTACCAGTACAAAAAAATTTCATCATCCAGTTACTACTTCATTGTGTGAGTTACTTGAATTCTCTTTTCTGCTTTGTTTTATTTCAGCGAGCTCTTGCTAAAACTGGAGCTGAGTCGATCAGTTTGCTTGAGCTGTGTCGAAACACAAACAGAAAGCAGGCTGCAGCAAAGTTCTACAGCTTTTTGGTTCTGAAAAAGCAGCAAGCCATCGAGCTCACACAGGAAGAGCCATACAGTGACATCATTGCAACGCCGGGACCAAGGTTCCATATTATCTGAGGAGCTGGAAGCATTAGTTCTAGTGTTTGCTCACTAGTACATACAAATTGCCCCCGTGTGTAGGGCACCAAAACCCTATAAGGAAGTTGTTAGATTTTTGTTTGTACAAAATCTTTGCAGTTTCTTTCTTCATCTCCCCCCCCCCCCCCCCCCCCAGTGTTTCTAGTTTTTCTTCCATCTTTTAAGGGAAACTGCTTATTTGGGTTGGGATTGTATTCCTGGAGAGAACAGTACCCCCAAGAACCCAGAAGACTTTTAACCAGTCAGAACAGATGTGTGCAATATTGGTGCATGAGATAATATGGAGTGATAACAGTCAGAAGTCCCCATTTTTATGTTAGTTTTCCATTGCTGTGTTGAAAGGAAAACCTGCCTAGGAAAATGCCTGACACTCTTAAGAGCTGTGGTTTGAGTCCCTTGACGGGAAGAGAAAATGTCTTCCCAGCAGTCTGGTTAACCACTGTGCCCAGGGATAGATAGCACAGGAAGCATCATGATGTCTTCTTGATCATGTTTTAAAGTAATGCCATGATGAGCAGGAATTTGTGACTTGTGTTGTGACTGACCCGCTTGGACTGTTGTGTCGTGAAATCATTCCGTGAGAGTCTCAG